TCCCAAAATCAGACACTTTGGCCTATACTTATGATCCAGGAGTATGTTTGAAGTTTTGACGTCTCTATGGAAGATGGGAATGGAAGCTGCAGAATGCATATAGGCCAGTGCTCCTGCAACCTCACAAGCAATTCTGAGACGGTTGTCCCATGAAAGCTTTGCTTCGAGTTCCTGGTTATGGATGTGATGAGAAAGGGTTCCATTGGGAATAAATTCATATACCAGTAATGGGGCTTCAGTCTCTAGACACCAACCTAGGAGTTGGACAATGTTCCTATGGTTTATTTGGGACAGAATCACCACTTCGTTAATCAAAGTCTCAATCTGGTTTCTCACAATTTCTTTTGCCTTCTTGACTGCGACAATGCTACCATCTTGTAACATTCCTTTATAAACGGTTCCAAATCCACCTTGACCAAGAAACCTACTTTGATTGTAGTTATCTGTTGCTCGTTCCAGCTCATCCACTGTAAAAAGTTTTGCTTTCTCTCGGTTTCCATAACATGATATCTTTTCTTGTAGCAAGAGGCCACCATTTTGCTTGAACAACTTTTCCCGACGGATTCTTTCTTTCTTTTGTTTTAGGCATTGATGTAACTTGTGACTCAAAAGAAATAAGCACAAAAGTCCGGCACCAATACCAGCACCTGCAAGTGAATGATTAAAGTGCAAAGGAGTGATTTTATATTTGCAGACAAGATAAGATACTTTGAAAGTATGGGGTTGTACATCTAGTGATCATCCCAATTACAGTACATGGCAAAGTATCTTCAACCATCCTTGAAAAATGTCACACCATTTTATACAATCTATGATTTGGTCTGCTACTTAAACAAAGAGGAGAGAAGGTTGTGTTGGAGACAATAATCATTGTGGACATCTAAGTTATGTACATGGCACAAGGGGACGGTGAGAGTTGGATTGAAACAAAAGCCGACAGATTCCTTTTAATTTAGGTTTGGGTTATTAAAATTTGAATTCAACTCCAATTAGAGTTTAAACATTTAGTTGTTTGTCTAAAATTTAAACCTCGAGGAGAGTCTGACTGGCACATGTTTCTAGACACAATTTTGCTACCTAAAAGCCTAGTGAGCTAGCGAGGATTTAGAAGAGATTACCTAAAGAAGCAACCAATTTGATGGGGAAACGACGAGCATCTTTTTGAAGATGATCACAATCGAGAGTGTTGAAACTTGAACTCGGAAGGTATTTCTGAGAGAATGAGCAGGTGCAGTAGAATAAATGCGGATTAAGTTTACAGGAAGAAGGTTTGATGGGAACTAAAAAAGTTGTGAAGGGATAGATGAGATCATTTAGATGCAACTTATTAGCGGTTAGCAGAGTCTGTTGATCTGCACCATAGGCCTTTGCGATTGACTCAATTGAATCCCCAAATACAACTGTGTGAAGTAGCAGGAAGGAGACCCCATCTGAGATCTGGTTAGCAGTGGGACAAGCACATAAGATTGGAACTGAAACCTGTTTGCCTGCAGTGGGATCGATGACATAATTTTGTCGAAGCAACATCTGGCAAATGGCAAGGCCTTGATAAGTGTTGTTGGCCACAGTAAAGTAGGTGTCAACTGCCTTCAAGGTATAAGAAGTGGGATGCTGGTAGATTCCACCCAAACAGGAACAATCGATGGGAACAATAACAAGTTGATCGATGGGAATGTTGTTGTTATTGCTGGAGATGTTGTTGATGGAGGCTATGGAAGCTGCTTGGGAGCTAAGATGATTGGCAATGTTAAGAGGGGTATCATAAAGAGGATTGGATCTGAAAGTTACGAAGGAGATGCATGACTTTTGGAGGCCATTGCAGTCATACGCTACTTTGTTTGTGGAATTGAAAGAGCAGTCAACGATATCTTTGAGGTCCTGTTGGCTGCAGCAATGGAGGGATTGAGAAAGCACAGACAGGAGCAGAACGTAGAATGAAAGAATCTTCATGTCTTTAAAGTTAGACGAGAGAGAGTTTTATTGATATTGCTCTGCAATTTGTATGTGTGGGTGTCTATGTGTGTGTGTGTATATATATAATATATGAGTGTAGCTTATGTTTCAAATTCAATGGGAGAAGAAGAGGATTTGAGATAGCAATGTTGACCATTTATTTTGACTTAAAGTTTTACTGTGACTTTTTTTTTTTTTTTAAGAATCATCCGTCCTACTTCCATTTTTTGTATTTTTTTTTCACATTAAACTTTTTAATTTCTAGTTTTATTCATGACATGACTGTGGGGTAAAATTTTATTGAATGTATGATGTGCCCATGCCCCTTGCTTTTTCCTGTAAGGAAAGCGCGCCGTCTGCTTTTGTTGGCGTTAATGAGGTCGCTAGTTGGATCTCACATGGATCTGTGTGTTACCGACTTACCGGTTATATTCTTCGCGATCTTTAATATAAACAACCTTTTGAAAAGTTTTTTTTTTCTAATATAAAATAAAATTAAAATAATTATTTTTTTTAATTTTATCCCTTATTTATTTATTATTGTTTGTTTAAATTCAGTACACTAATTATGAAAAAATTAGCTCAATGACATTAAAAAATACAGCTCTCATAAATTATGAATAATGAGATTTTTAAATATTTTAAAATATGGCCTATTTATAAAATTAATGAAATATATTTTACTTTTTTAATCCTCAAATAATTGTATTATTAAAACACAATATATTTATTATAATTAATCGTTAACTAGCTGATTTTTTTTCTGAATCATTCCTTTTTTAATATAAAATTGTCGGTGTTTTTTTTTCATCGCAAAATTTTTCTTCTCTTTCCTTTTATGTTTTTCTCAAGAACACTATAAAGAGGATATTAGACATTGAAAAGAAATTTTTATTTCTGGAAGTAGAAGACTATGTTGGAATTTATTATCTGTCATCAAATTTTCACTATCTTCACATCTTTTGATAACATCGAATTTTTTGCGGATTGTGCTTTATTCATTTTAAGCAAAGATTATGTATTTTTGTTACTGATCTGCGATACTATATCATTGATATATATTAATAATAAATAAATTTATGTCTGATTGTCTAATTATGCTGATTGCGATCTGCATAGTATATTAGTGATATATAACAGTATATCAATGATGTAGTATCGTAAATCAGTAACATGAAAAATACATAATCATTTTTATCCAAACAAATCAAATACAATCCACAAATATATTTAGACTTTTAGTTTATTAGAGAGAGTCAAATACTTAAACTAATAAACTAAAAAATTATGAATATGTAGCTCCATATCCCCCTCAACGTGCTCCGTTTCATTGATGTATTTCACCTCACATTTGTCTCTTATCGTCGTGATTGTGGCTCTCTCACACTACTGTGTTGTCTCACGTTTGTCTCTCTCATGTTTAATTCCGTCTTCTCTCTTGCAATCATCTCTATCGTTATAGAAATTTCTTATATTTTAAATCTTCTAATATTTGCAAAAAGCAGATATTTAAAGGGCACTTTTATAAATTAATTATAAATTAAATATTAAAAAGATTATTTTTTTTAAATTTAAGAAAGAATAGGTTATTTCTTTTATTTAGTCTCATAAAATGAACTATATGTGTAAATGCCCCATAATTTATTACTATTAATTGTGAAGAAAAATAAAATTAAAAAAATACATATTTATTATCCCTTATTTATTTATTATTGTTTAAATTTTTGCATAATAATTTATGAGAAAATTAGCTCGATGACTTCAAAAAATACAGCTTAAATAAATTATGGATGAGATTTTTAAATATTTTAAAATATAGTTCATTCATTAAATTAATTAAATATATTTTATTTTTTTATCCTCAAATTAAATTTATTATTAAAACATAATATATTTATTGTAACTAATCGTTAACTTATTGATTTTTTTTTTTTTTTTTCTCTGAATCATTTTTTCTCTAAATATAAAATTGTCGATGCCTTTTTTCATTGCAGAGTTTTCTTTTCTCTTCCTCTCTGCTTTTTTCAGGAATACTATGAAGAGGACATTAGACATTAAAGAGGAATCTTCATTTTTGGAAGCAGAAGACTATGTGGGAATTTATTATCTGTCATCAGATTTTCACCCATCTTCACATCTTTGATAGCATCAAAATTTTTGTAAACTATGCTTGATTCATTTTGAACAAATGATTATATATTTTTCGTGTTACTAATTTGTGATATTATATCATTGATATACATACGTATATCAATAATAAATAAGTTTATCTCTAATTATCTAATTATGTTGATCTATGATAGTATATCAGTCAGTGATATACAACCGTATATCAATGATATAGTATTGTAAATCAATAATATGAAAAACACATAATCATTCGCCTCAAACGAATCAATACAATCTACAAATATATTTGAACTCTTAGTTTATCACAGAGAGTCAAATACTTAAAACTAATAAAATAAAAAAATTATGAATATGTAGCTCCATGTCCCTGTTGATGTGCTCCATTTCATTGATGTATCTCACCTCACGTTTGTCTCTCACAGTTACAACTGTAGCTCTTTCACATTACTCTGTTGTCTCGCATTTGTCTCTCTCGCGTCTAATTTTGTCTTCTTTCTCGTATTCATCTCTCTCGTTTCAAAAATTTCTTGCATTTTAAATCTTTTAATATTTGCAAAAAGAAGATATTAAAAGGGTACTTTTATAAATTAATTAAAACTAAATATTAAAAAGGCTATTTTTAAATTTAAGAAAGAATAAACTATTTCTTTTACCTAGTCCTATGAAATGGGCTATATGTGTAAATGTCCCATAATTTATTACTATTAATTGTAAAAAAAATTTTAAAAATTACATATTTTTTAATAATTTTAAAAATATAACTATCATTTCTTAATAAATATTAAATCTCATTTGCGGGTTAAATGACGTTTTTTTTTACTGACCAAGGAAAAATATATAACACACACACACACACACACATCGTTGATGTTGAAAGAGAAGTAAAAACACACATCAGATGACATTAGCCTATACTGCTCGAGAGAGACAAATCCGATTAATGTTTTACATTTAAAATTAAAATAAATCCTCAAATATGATACAAGGGAGAATTTGGTAAAGGATCTGGAAGAAATTCATATTTCTAAAAAAAATTTAATAAGTAAACATTAATAAATTAATGAGTGAAATTGTTTTAACAAATATATGATATCTTCAGAATTTTGGTAAGATATTAAATTATTTCAAGAGTTTTTATTTTATTGATATTCTTCGTTTGTAGAAAGTATAAGGATAAAGAACTTGGTTTTTCCATGTAAATTAACCATTCTTCCTACTAAAAATTAAAATATGATTTGCCCATATCATTAGTACTCTTGTTACCATCATATAGCATTAATTTTTTTGCCATTATTGATTCCTGATCCTTATAAAAATATTTTCACATTCTAATATTTTTAATTTAGAAAATCATGAGCCATTAGTGTTTCCTGTTCCACCAAGCCTAGATCTTTAGGGACGCGGATTAGACTTGACTGAATTAAGAAAATTACATTAGACTGGTATTAAACTTGACTGATTTGATATGAGAAGGATTGGATTAGTTGGTCAAAACAAAAAACAAAAAAAAACAGAGAGAGAGAGAGAAGGATTGGATTAAATAAAGTTTTGGAAAAAATGAAAAAATTGCCAATAAGTCTCTCCTTAGGGTCAAAATTGTACTGGAAGACGAGTAGGTTTTGGATAGACTTAAGATGTAAGCAGATAGGCTTGGGATTTCATGACTATTTGCTTGCACCATAAGCTTATTTGCTGGTACCTTAATTCTTTGGTCTTTCAACATAGTTTCAGTCTCAAGGAGAGACTTATTAACGATTTTTTCAAAATAATCCACATGTCATTATAATATTTCTCAATTTTGTATTAAGTTTCTATTATTTATTTTTTAATAAAATCTCTATAGTTTAATCTAATAGATAAGTTAATTATGTATATTTAAATTATTAATGAATGATTAACTTTCTCAAAACATGACCAATTTAAAATTTATAGAAAATTTGACTTGATATTTTTAGCAAAAAATTATTTAATACATTGTTTTATATTTTCATTAAATTTTTATGAAAATTTTATGTGTAGAAAAATTACTAAGAAGACATAATCTAATTATATAATTTTTTGAGTTATAACAATTGTGTTATTAATTCTAAAGATATATAATCTTTTAATAAAAATATAAAAGTTCTTAATTTTATTTTTCTAATGAAAAATTTTCGGATTTTAATCTTTATGGATTAACAAATCTAATAGATTAAACTATAAAATTTAAATTAAAAAAATTAAATTACATGGACCTAATCCAAAATTTAAAAAAACTATAAAACCTGCAAATTATTTTTTTTAAAAAAAGTTCTGTATGCTCTTCATTTTAATACCTTTATGTATGCTTAATTTCTATCCATACTTTCAAATTTAAAAATCAAATTTTAAATTATAATTTTTATATTACTCATTTTAAAATATGTATTCTTCTAATCCTATTTATAAGTCATTTTTATCATATTTCAACAGAATCAAGAAAAATCTTAAAATTCATCAATATTGTTTAAAAATTTAATAAGTTTTTAACTTTATCCCTTTTAAGTATATATATTTTAATAACTTATTTTTTCATCAACATTAATAAAAGTTAAAAGGACAATTGCAATTAAAGAATTTTTAACAATTCTGTAGACCATTGGCAATTAAAGAAAAAAAATGATTTATTGATTCATCATCGATATTTCAAAAACACACAAAGTGAGAAATTTATTACTTGGCAATTAAAGGATAATAACCTATCCTTTGCAAACAATCTCTGGTTTCTGCAACCAGCAACACAAATAAAACAATGTATAGGAAGATTATATTTCCACAAACAAATGGGACTTTCTACCTAATTTCTATCATGGAAACATTTAAAAATTTACTTCTAAAAAATATAAGTTTCCTCGAATGCCAACTCACATC